CCACGAAATCACATTTTGCCCCCCACCCGTCGCCAAAAAAATTTCGGTCAGTGTACCATTTTACGGGTCAAAAAAAATTTTCCGGACAACCAACATTTTTCGGAACATAACACAAATTTTCGGAAAATCACAAAATTTGGAAAAAAATTGAATTAATTTTACACAAAATTTACAGAATTTGTCCCATTTTTTTTATTGCAAACCAAATTGCCCGACTGTTGATCGCATATTGCCCGACTGCCCAAAAAACTGGGGGGGGGGCTACCGCCCCCCCCCCGCCCGGTACGCCTATGCGTAAGTTTTTTGCGTTTTTTCCTTCTTTTATTTCAAATAGAAGTATAGTTAGGATAAATTTTAGAGCAAATTTAGATGCTCAGACGGCAGGAAATGGCACTTTTGGGCTTGATCAAATTTCAAAAATTTTCAGGGGAAGTATGCCCCCAGACCCCCCTATTCATTCACGGTATGTCGGCACACACGTGACCCACGGCCATTGCTATCCCCCTTTGATAATAAGTAATGGATAAATTATTGTTAATATTTCTTTTATTTTTTCTGCATTTTTTCCTTTTTTATTTCAAATACAAGTATAATTAGCATAAATTTTAGAGCAAATTTAGATGCTCATAAAGCAGGAAATGGCATTTGAAAGGTTCAAATTTAAAACATTTTCTGGGGGAGTATGTCGGCCACACACGTGGCCGTCGGCCATTGCTATCCCCCTCTAATATATTATCTCACAGAAAGGTCCCTTTTCAAAAAATGCCCCCCACGGGAAAATCCTTAAAAAAGGCCCTGTTGTCCTGTATTTCGGTCTCGGAACTGTCGTATGTCGCGGTATAAGTTAACTGTGTAGTTCGTATATTTGCCTAGCCACATGTTGTGATTGAGGCTATGTGAGGATTGTAAGTTTATCACCTAGTACTATTTAAGTATAGATGCAGTTAGGTTATGTGCATGCTCACAGGGTTTTGAAAGCAAACCATGCTGTGAAATATGTGAATCCTATGGTTTCGGTCATGTATCTAACTATCTAGGTAGAATACCTAAAAGTAGATGTTGTACAAACTACCAAGTTGTGGTTTATAGAATCGGGCAGACCTCCCCAGTCCCCTATTTCCTCGCCCCACCATTCCCTTCGTTCCCCATTCCCCGTTCCCGCATTCCCCGTTCTCCCATTCCCCGTTCCTCCATTCCCCCATTGCCCGTTCCTCCATTCCCCCATTCCCCGTTCCCCCATTCCACGTTTTTCGACAGAGAAGACGATTTTTTTGCCTGTATTCAATCTACAAACACTAAAAACAAGTTTACTACTCGTATTTTACTCGTATTCTACTCGTATGTACTCGTATTATACTCGTATGTACTCGTATGTACTTGTGTTTTACTCGTATGTACTCGTGTGTTACTCGTATGTACTCGTATGTTACTCGTATGTACTCGTATGTTACTCGTATGTTACTCGTATGTACTCGTGTGTTACTCGTATGTACTCGTATGTACTTGTGTGTTACTCGTATGTTACTCGTATGTACTCGTGTGGCGTTTTAGTCACGATCAATTTCGGGAACATTAGTTTAATTCATTATCTTTGTATTTAAAATCAACACAAATTTTGTATTAGTGGACATTGAATATAAAAAGGCTATAGTAGTATAAATGTAGCATATATGTAAAATGCGCAAAGCATGGCCAGAAATCACGGACATGATTTATTCTACTTCCTTTGTAATTTGCATATCACGTTGAAATATGGCTTCTGCAGTAAACAGTACATTATATTACGGGATGCAGTAAATCCCAAAATCAGAGAATATGGTAGGTCGTTTGCAAATTGCCTCAGTCGCTGGCTATAAATCAAAGTCTGTCGAAGTATTTAGCGTAATGTTGACTTGATTTTAGTTCGTGACCATTCTGCATTTTCGGTATTTGACAGAGGTTAGTTTGTACGAAATTTGTCTATTTAACTCTATATATATAGATATATAATAATACCGCACTATAGCCACTAGAAAAAAACGGAAATGCAGAATTGGCAGTAACTTACACCAGGCAAACACCACACGATATATTTCAACAGACCGTGTTCTGCAACAAGCAATCGAGGCAAATTGCAAACGACTACCAATATTCTCTGATTTTGCGATTTAAAGCATCGGGTAATATATTTTACTATGCTATCGAAGCCACATTGCAACGGGTTATGTATTAATGATATGCAAAGTTAGTAAGGAAGTA